TATCATTCCTAACACTGATATTACTTTTAATTTTAAAGATTTATTATTAACCAATTTTCCTGGAGAAATAAATCAATGTATTATTTTCACTTTTAATGCTAACCCGACACCTCTAGCCTACAATAATAACATATTCATCGAATATCTTTTAAAACACTCCTTCTTTTAGATTTTTTAATTTTATTTTTAGAAATTTCTTTCGACATTTTACTGTCGACCAAAGTTGAGTTTACCTTTCACAACACCTACTCAACAAAAAGTATCGCCAATTTGAAAACATAAAATCGAATGTTTCACTTCATAAACAAACTAATGGCTGTGAGTTGGGTAAATAGACAAATGATCCCCAAAAAAATGACTATTGATCACCAAAATGTGTTAGTTGCGAAATGATCACCAAAAAAATGTACAAATGATCCCCAATCTATTTTATTGTGAAATGATCACCAAAAAAATGTACAAATGATCCCCAATCTATTTTATTGTGAAATGATCACCAAAAAAACATACAAATGATCCCCAATCTATTTTATTGTGAAGTGATCGCAAAAAAAAATATATTTGATCACCAATTTGCTTTTTGTGGAATGAATGGTAGAGTTGTGGTAGATAATGTGTTTATCTCAAAAGATAACAGATTGATAAGACATAGTTAAACAATAATCATAATTGGATCAAAATGATCTCATTAACTGAGAATAGTTACACAAAATGTTCTATCATAACAATTCAGAAAACTAAAAATGTCAAGTAAACAGTGGACGCTGCTATACACAGCTCAATCATATGAAGAAGCAAAAGATTTAGCAAAATCACGCTTTAATGTTTGCCAAAATCGACGATCAGATTTAAACGATCAAACAAAATATTCATTTAAATGCAGTGAATACAGGAAATATCCTTTATGTCATTTTCAAATAAAAATTATCGTGCCAGATAACAATATGAATTCTATAACAATTATGCCCAAAGATGAACATGAACATGAACAAAATGAACGAAATGCAACAACAAGATTACCATCGCCAATACGTGAATCCATATCTACCTATGTCAAGTGTGGATTATCACAATCTCAAATTAAAGCATCATTGATAATAAACTCGGTGATCGAATATATATTTTTTGTGATCATTTCACAATAAAATAGATTGGGGATCATTTGTACATTTTTTTGGGGATCATTTGTACATGTTTTTGGTGATCATTTCGCAACTAACACATTTTGGTGATCAATAGTCATTTTTTTGGGGATCAAAAATATTGCTACCCAACATTTATACCCTTATTCGATAATCTAGCTGCAATTTAACCTGTAGATTCGGTAGAATGCTGAGCAACCATCGATTGAATAACCATGCCTTGTTTTTCAGTGGTTGATCGGTTATGACCAGGTTTTTGTATGACTTCTGCATCTCCAGTTGTTTCGTACCTTTCTAGCTAATATCTTACGGTTGGCTCACTATAACATGTAAATATTCCCATGTGTTTTATTACGATGAAACTGTGGTACAGTTATGCCGTAACTACGATCGCACTGTGACCCGTAATTGCGGAAAATTGTGACATTGTTACGCGTAACTACGATGAAAAAATCAGTTACGCATAACTGCATCCAAGCATTTCGCAATTATGGGTCACAGTGGCGTCGCAATTGATACAAAAGATAACATAGATTAGGTTTTCATTTTATTTGTACTTTTACTGTGACATTAAAAAACTTTTTGCACGTAAAATAAAAGCTTACAACTATAAACTTAAAATTTTTATAAAAAAAGAAAAAACAATTTTTAAATTCAAAATTTTCACAATAAAAGAAATTGAAAAACTTAAAAAATTTGAATCTAGAAATTTAAAAAAAAAGAAAAAAATATGCATTCTAGTGGTTATAGTAATAGTAGAAAGACTTATATGAACGAAAATGTGACGAGCATTGCTATTTATACTGATTTTCTGTGACTCAATTTTATTGTTCGAGTGTAGCCAATTACAAATAAGGAGGAATAATTTATAATTCGTCATTTATACCTACAACGGATCGTAGGATGCGATCACTAGGACGCATTTATGTTGATCTGCGTCATAGTAAGCGCAGTTTCTTATAGAAATCTCCACTTCGATCAATGCGTCATAGTTCCGCGTAACTGCGACGCAAAATTCGCTCTGCACGTAACTGCGGCACTGCTGATAAAAAAAGAGGCGATATGGGCTGTGATATATCAGCATTCAACACGTGTGGGCTATAGTTGTGTCTTGATAAAAAGACGATTTCCCATCTTTTTTTATTAGCTTATAAATTGATACGGCAAAGACCACAAATATTGCTATTTATATCAGATGATAAGAGTGAATAGTACGTTCAAACAAAGCAAAAATGTACAGCAAAATCCATTGTTAATGCAGCGATAGAGGGCATGACCACTTATGACGCTTACTGTAAGTAAAAATGCAGGACAGAATGACTTTGAGTTAGAACTAGAATTTTAATACCTATCTTCGGTATTTCCTTGGAAATATTTACATTCACTGATATTTGTCTACATTCTCACCATACCCATACACTCAAGAAGTATGCTAAGCTTTTATTCATATGTTCATTTTACAATTTTACAGTAAGTATGTAATCTTATTTTCTAAGTCGAGAAGGATTGGATGCCAGAAATACAAATTTTCTTTTGTTTTATTGCAGAATAAAAATTGTTCCCAGGTCGAGCATTCCGGCACGGAAACGACCGGTTCCGAGGCATTCCGAGGATTTCATGGGAGCAGTATTCCGGTAAGGAATTTTCCGGATTTTTTTCCAATGATTTCCGGTTGGTTCCTGCCGGAAGGCACAGGAATTCGGCAGGAATCCAACGGAAAAAATCCGGGCAGTTTTCGACCGGAATACTGCTTCCATCTTCCAGCCATTTCCGGTGTATTCCTGCAGGATCCGGTGTGTTTCCAAAATCTTTCCTGAAGGATATTGCGAGATCTGGGAGCCGGAATCATCGTCCTGGGGTGTATTCGTCTTTACTGCCTTAAAAAGAAAATCATCTAAAACATGTGTCTTTATCTAGTTTTCAGCCAGTCACATATCGATAGAAACATTTCATTTTTTTTCTAATATTTTTGAACTCTGCATACATTTACATTAAAGTGTCATTTTCGTTACGAAAAAATCTGATAAAAAAAGAAAGCGCTAGAAAAAGTCGAATGCCCTGATCTGTTTATGTATTCTACTTTTCAAGGATGAACTAAATTAGTTGATCTCACTAAACACGCTGCGATTTAAATTGACACATTTTATGCAGCGCATCTAAAGAATGGCAGAGTTAAATTTAACACATCCGGATTCCAGATATATATAGATTTTTTACATAGCTGATATTGTTGTTAAAAATGTAGTTTAGTTTTAGCATTGAGTATTTTTAAATCTAAAAAAGCTAGAGCTACATATCTTATTAAAAACCATTTCCATACGATTGAATATATAATTCCTTATCTTTTCATATCTGACCTAATTTTATTTAATGCAAACTTAAGGAATACACTAAAAGCCACACCGATGATAGTATCTGTTTTATCCATCAGAAAATAATTATGTCACTAACAAGCGTAGAGAAAACAAATCAGTTATCATTGATTTGTATAAAAAAAATTGACTTACTATCGCGTTCTTGTACACAATAATAATAATTATTGATATTTGCAAGCATTTTTATGATTACTGTAGCTTTTGCATGCTGGATCATATTTTTGAAACATAGATTTAGCTAATATGAAAAAGAGCACATGATTAATATCGTCAATGTTTTACTTTTACTCTTACGTTTAAATACTTGATTTTATTCATTTTCATATCACGTCAATATTAACATGAATTGACATCAATCATTTTTAATAATAGTGTTTTCAACGTTCTTAGCTTTGTCCTTGTCAAACAGATATAGTACACATCTATGGTGTTATTTCATAAGGATAAATATATATATAATAAATATCATTTTTATGGAGTATTGTCATGAACGATTTTCTTGAGTTTTATTTTATTTTTGTTAATCAAAGTAGTAAAAGTGAAATTGTTTTGATAAATGTGTCTGAATAGTTTTTGATAAGAAAGATATAATGGCTAATAACAAATAATCAAACCAGAAAACACGATATTGCTTAAAAATGTCTTTCATGTTACCCTCATTGATTGGTTATTTATATAATAAAAAGTTAAAAGCTATAGATTTGAGCTCAAATCAAATTGATGAATGCGTAATAGTTATTTTTCATTTGAAATCTATATCATTTTGTTTTATTTTTCATTGATGTAAAGAGACGCTCGTTTATATTTATTGTCATTCTAGTCAGAACAAGAAGAAATATCTTCGATCGGAAATATTTTAAATGAGAAATTTAGTTAAAAACATATATTCTATTTTTCTGCCCATTTAATTATGCCAATGCGTGGTGAATACTTTGATACAGATTGGTTGGTATTCAGTGAAATACAATAATTAGATATTTCATCCTGTTGATAACTAATATGATAAGTAAAATACTTTCTTGATTTTCTTTTTAAAATCGGTTGAAAATACTATAAATAAGAGATATATAACGAAGAAAAAAATCAATACTCAAATATGAAAACAGCGATGTTTACTCAAATTCAAACCTGCTCACCAATTATTTTTCTCGGATGAATGCATCTAAATTAGAGGAAGAAGAAAGCCAGTTCTAGCAATAATTTATAGGTATATAAATGAAAGTATATATGAGACGAATCAGTAGTTCGAAAACAAGTCGAATAATCTAAATATCAGCCAAGAAAGAAAGAAAGATGCATATGCCCATTCCGTCGAGAACAAAGTATTGTATTTATTGTAAATAAAATCCTACAGTTATATGTTTTATTTTTATTTTTATGCAGATCTTTATTACCAGTAGCAGCATTATGTTGTTTGGGTATAATAGGCATTGCAATTGTTTCAACGATTGTACTGGCTTTAATACCAATTTATATAACAGCGAAAAGTGTAACAGTTGCAAACAAACCAAACAGTATGATAAATTATTTCTAACAAAACAAACTGTAGCTTTCTTTGCAAGGTGCCGATACATTTTATCTTCAATATTCTGGTGATGCTAATGCTGATTCAAGCGTGACAGGCACCGTAGAGAATCTTAGCGATGTTAGAATCAATAAATGTTAAATATGACTTTTAATTAATTGACTTTTTTCAGGTCGGTAAATCGTTAGGCTTCGGTAGTGATGCAGAAATTACAAGTGGTCAAGCTCAAGCAAGTTTTGTACGACGAAAACGTAGCTTGTATTTATATATTCTGTTAAATCTTTGCCGAACTTGTTATTTCTGTTTTATCCTTAGAAAATTTCAACGTCAAAAACGAGATCTCAAAACGAATTTTCTTTTCTTATGCAAACATAAATATAAACCGACATGTGTTACTGAATCATGCCGTAGTACAAGCAGAACTAAATTTATAACACGAATACAACTGATTACTAGTTTTCCGAGTTTTTCAATCAGTATACGTTCGGGTGGCGTATCAGTTACATTTTCTTTTGCACTTCAATTCGTTGGATTCATTTTAGCAAGTGAGTAAATAAAAAATAACTGCAACACTTGTATTTTGTATTCAACTTAATATATAGAACCCATTGGTTTTGCTGGCGAATCAAGCACATTTCAATTTGTCGCTATTCGATCTGGTGCATTTAATAATCCATTAACATGGGCTGGCGGAATTGTTCCATATGGTAGTTGCTCTGTTGTTATTTCAGCTGGTGTAACAGTTACTCTTGCAGTTCCGGCATTATTCATTCGAATGAAAAAATGTGATATATATGGCTCACTAGCTTTGGGTTCAGGGAGTTCTTCGTTTCGATTTAATTATGCAACAACTATTATTGTTCGCGCCGGTGGAGCTGTTCAAGATTTAACAAGTAACAAAAACATACTTATTCCAGCAAGTACTTTTATTACTGTGCTAAGTGGCGGAGGATTTTGTGCCGCAGGAACTATCATTCAAGCATATTCTTCAGCAGGTGTAGGCAAGAGTGTTACACGAACTTCAGCATCGGGTCCATTTACTTGTGGTATTCTACCTAGTGGTGGTCTTCTGAGTTATAATAAAGTAACATTTATTGCTATAAAATCCGGTGGATTTACAGCAGGATCAACTTTTCTTGGTGGTCTTCCACCATCATCAGACATATGTTCTGGTGGAGGCTGTGGTATACAAATCGAATCAGGTGTTACACTATCAACAGCTGATCTCAATGGTAAGATGAGCCTTCAAATTGATGAAATAAATGTTGCGGCAGGAGCATTTTTTGAACTTGGTACGGCTGGTTCAACTAGTGGATTTAAATTTTTGTTTTCTATTCAGCTGAATGTATTGGGTAGGTTAAATTTCGTTGGTAGTGGAGGTGGAATTTTAATACCATCTTCAAGTGCCTTCAATTTTTTTGGCGGTGGTAGTTTTACGAGTATTTTCGCATCAGCATTTATTCAAGTATTCAGTTTAACAACTGGTCTTTCTATCGGCACACCAAAAATATTAGGTTCCTCGTTTACTGGACCTTACTTTATCACTATTTCAGTAGGCGGTGTATTTTTAATAAGTGTGAACGGTATGTAAAATTTTCAAATTTCATTCTTGAACTTTATCTTTAATTTAATTTATTTTAGGTGTTGGAGACAGTGATACTACAACAATGGTAAATTCTGCCACAACTGGACTTATGGGTTAAATAAACAAAGCACACACATTTTCATATAACTATCTTTCATTAATATTATATAGCCATCGCATTTTTATACAAGTTTAAATCTATTCTTTTCTGACAGCTATCCAATTTTTATTTCACGCCAAATTAACCTCATTCCAACAAGTTCTTCTATTAATTATTTTGAATAAATTTTATTAATGATTTAAATATTTGTCTTCTCCATATAAAGGTGTTAACTGATCTATGAGTGTAACAGAAAATTAGTGCTTTCGTTCAATTCAATCGAATCATAATTATGAATAGGTCAACAGGGACAAAAAATAAATAATGCTAGTTTAAGTATATTTTGCCTACGCGAATATTTCTTGACAATTTAGCTATGACAAACTGAATATTGTAATAAGTATGATTAAGAGCAACAAAATATAATTAAAAATATCATATTTTTATGATGTCATCTGTATGATTGTATGCAGTACTTTTAGCTACTTGTCATAAAATGCTCTGCATAATGAGATACCAAAAAAATATCATGCACACTAATAAAATATACTTTAATATACTTTGAGAAATGTTCGTTGAGTGCATTTTTATTTATTTCTATGTACATATAAATATTTTAGTGTTTGTGATATCTAGTTACTCATTTGAAAAATGCAAATAAAATGAGATTAAAATGGTAGGACGGGCAAAATAAAATTGTTTTTCTTAAATTAATTTATTACAAGAGACATTTTCATTGATTGATTTTGATTAAAAATAAAATGCATTGCATTTGTATCATTAAATGGCTGCTTTTCATCGATTAATTAAAAATATTCAGACTATTAGTTTGTCGTTGAAATCATCGCAAATACTATTCGCATTCATGTTTTATGAAAATCTACGAAATATCTCTATGCTTTTTCATGGTTCCATGGGTACTGTACTATTCTTTCTGAGGAAAGATCCAAGAAGAAAGCTAAACAGCTGCGCTTACAGGTAGGGAGTGTTCTTTTGCCTCATAATAAATGTAAACAAATAAATCTTCATATTTAAGAAATAAAGATAATGAGTTATTGATAAGCATGCCATTAGCGTTGCTTTCGTTCATTACACATAACGATACAATATATATATATATATATGTATATATTATAATATATAATATTGAAGAATATTAAATTGTTGCTGTTAAATAATAAAGATGTTTAGTTTTGTTTTGCCAACCATTCTGATTATTCCATGATAGGATGTAAAATGTAGAGAGAAAGAAATAGAAATCAATTTTAACTACTCGATGACACGGTATATAGATTTTGTAGAGATATTAGAAAAATTTTCATAGAAATATAATTACTAACTCTAGATATGGGTTCCTTCTCGTACTCATCAAAATCGATACTGTTGCTGAAATATAATAACGTGGTGTGCGAAAGTTTTTAGACAAAATGTTCGTTGATTTTTTATTCACTTAAAATTATTTTTGACGAGTCAAATTCTACGTGTTAGAACCGGAATTTTATGCTCTTTCGGAATATGAACTTAGAAATTTTGTGTCGATTTTTGTTCGAGAGTAGTAAGTTCACCTTTGAACGGTCCAAAAAATTAGTTTGGACAGAAATTTTTTCCGCACACTTTTATATTTTCACTGTTATGCTCCGAAACTAAAATTTGAAGCCTTCATTATGATACCAACTTGTAGAGCAAAACCTACCCTATAAAATGTGCTATTTGAGTTTTCTTTTGTCTGTCGGCAGGGCACCTGAATTTTCGTGTTCCCTACATCGCCATTTTTGAAAAATTGGTTTTTTGATCAAAACCGTTTTAAGTGGAAAGGAGGTCTTGGGAAAATGCGTATAGCTTCCCTTGGGTAAATGCTACAGCTTAGTTCAATACCACATTTTGTAGAGAATTATTCACTTTACAAAACTACCAAATCCGACAATTTTTAGCATATTCCCAAACGGACTTATAGGGGTTAGCAAAACCTGTTTGTTCAGAGTCCAAACTAATTGTTAAGACCCTTCAAAGATTCTCTGACTACTCTCGAACAAAAACTGACATAAAATTTCTAAGTCCATAATCCGAAAGACCACAAAATTCTGGTTCTAGTGCATAGATTTTGACTCGCCGGAAATAATTTCAAGCAGATCAAAAATGAACAAACATTTTGTCTCAAAACTTTCGCACACCCCGTTATAACTACTGCTACGAATAAATATGTTAATCTAACGATGAATTTGGACATGTTTTTATTTCTTACATTACAGTCATATCTTAATATCAGTACAACACTGTTGAGTGAGTGTAACGTACTATAGGAGATGTCGCTATAGACAATTACCTAGTTTTATTTTAGTTGGCAAGAATAATTTTTTATCATGGACAATCTATACCAGTGATTTCTCTGTTTTATTAACATAATGTTTAGGCATATTCATAGTCTTTCAGTATAATTATAATTTATAAAGAGCAAATATTTGAAAGCACGAATATATCCAATGATATAAAAGAGTTTCAGCCTCTTCTCTTCTCTTGTCACTATAATCAATGTGGTATGATAATGTTCTTACTCACTTTTCTTTTGTAAGCTCATTTCTTTCTACATGATTCATTATTCAATACTTCATCGGGTTATTGTTATATGTAGTGGATATTAATAAGTTAGATAGAGAACAGTCTCATACGATAGATCTGATCATAAAGAATGTATTCCAAGCATTTACTTTATATAATATTTATTTTAATTATTGTGAATAATTACGCAGCAAAAGGTATTTTAACATCGCCAAAAGATTTTGTTTTGTAGTTATTATTGTATGATGTTTCTCTAGGAGAAAATTCAACAAATACAACAAATGCATCAACATTAGCAACTACAACAACAACAACAACAACAAGTAACCTATATTAAAATAAATAAATTTTTGAATCGAAATATTACTTCTCTAATTAGGTACATTATCAATTTTAGTAACATGTCCTGAGGGTAGTAAACAAGTATCATCGAGTTCAGAATGTCAACTAAATACTGAGCGACAAGATAATACAACTGCAATGGTTAAAAGTAAATAGATGCTTGAATAAAAAACAAAAACGGTTAAGTGACATCTAATTTAGATCAAGCAACAACATCAGGAGGTAGAGCTCGTCGCTTATTTTTCTTATTTGTTGGTTGTGCATTAACAATACTTGTAATAATAACTTTAATTATTACTTACAATCGTATCACCGAACAGCATAATCGTCATTTATCACCAAATCCAACAATAAATCCAACAATTGGCAATAGATTTCACAATGTATTACAATCAATCAGTTTCAGTAATTTTCGTAAAAATGGAAGATTTAATTTCTTTTCTGTTTCGAATAATAATTATTCATCTGGTATTAATCGACAAGGAGAGACATCACGTACTCATCTAAATGAAAATCAAGACGAAGCTTTATTATTTGATGATCCATATGCTGACGGAGGAATTTCAAGTGGAATTCATGGGTCATCTGCTAATCCATACAAATCATTAACACTTTCAGTCGCATAAAAAAGCTCCTATTGATCAATATTTTCAAGACATGACTTATAATCAATAACAAGTGTAATCTCAATTCTCTTACTTGACAAATTTATTTTATGCTAATCGATATCTTTTGTTGTTGTTTTGGTTTCATTTGTTTGTATCTGTCTATTTGTATTAAATACATCTTATTATTTGAAAGTTGAAATTAAAACAGAATTAACGAAACATTATAAATCTTAGTAAACAAATTTAAGTTTCATAAAAATCAAGAGATTTGTTTAAAAAAATATTTCCATTAATTCGGATGATTCCAGCAGTATCAAACTTGAAACTTGAATTCAATTGAGTTTTCAAGTTTTACATGTACATATGTATTATAGATGGAAACGGGACGTCAGAGCTGATTTGAATACAATAATAAGTGAAGTCGCTGATAACAATTACTTGCAACAATTGTAATGCTTGTCAAAAGAAAATTTCAATTTCTTTTTTTTCGTTCCCTTAACTGGAATGTCGCAGAACAAGTTCGTCGGAAATTGGCATAGTTTATTTATCATTTTAAATAGGAACGGTCTAGAATGCATTTCATAAAATTGAAATTTTACTAGTTTTTAAGAAAAAAAACTTTCTTCGAAAATTATAACGTCTATCAGATCTCTCTATTCCGAAATGATTTCTAATTTTCAGAAAAATCTCTATTTTTCTTAAAAAATGATTTCATAATTGTGGGGCGCACATTCTCTACCTTGTTTTCTTTTGCTACATTTTTTCACAAAATTTACTACGAATTCAACTACAAATGGACACCACATAGTATTCTACCCAATTCTAATCAAAACTTTTCCCGTTAGGGCATAAGACTGATGTCAAGAGTCCTAAACCTTTCTATGATCCTAAATCTTCATTCTCCGTATTTTTCCCTTTTTTTTCCATCGTTGCTTTTCCATTTCTCTCTCCGTTTTTCTCCTCCGTTCTTTTTCTTGTGCAGATTTGTTTACTTATGATGATAATTAAATAAATCGTTGTAACCAAAAAAAAAAAGAAAAAAACATCTTTTCACTTGAATACCTTATTCAAGTAGACGTATTACCAAGGGGGAAACAGCAGACTTTTGGACTTTAAGTTACTTTCAGCTACTTCAAGTAGTTTACTTTGAAGTACTTGAGATTACTTCAAGCTACTTCAGCTACTTTGTCCTACTTTGAACTACTTCAAGCAGTCTACTTTGACGTATTTTGATGTACTTTGACGTACTTTTCTACTTCAAGTCAGCTGTTTCCCCCTTGCGTATTACACATACGTGTATATGTTCACAGTGCGTACTACACACTGCCATGTAAATTTAGAACTAGATTTAGTTTTAATTTTCTTTTCAAATAGCTTATCATTTATAAATATACATACACTCTGTCTATGTCTTGGTAACTTATAATAATTCAGATTTAAGATCAAGAATAAAAATGTGATAATGACATCTATAATTATTAACGATGGGAACAAGTAGAAATATTTATTTTAGCCTTCTTCAAATTTCCCACACATCACCGGGAAAATATTCACTCGGAAAAATTCAATTCTAACATTATCATTTACATTATGAACAAAAATTTATCAATACACACAGATAGATATGTTAGCTGACAGAAAAAGTTCAATGGCAAAGTTTTTTCCCACATAG